ATGGGCTTGGACTGGATTGGGATGCTTTCTTAATGTACAATTACCCTTTATGTAAAACTCTCTCTAACACAGCATCCAAAGGAGATGGAAAGAATGCATGGTTATTGTACCCCAGAGCGAACTAGTCAATATTCCCCCCTTTCAGGAGGTAGCATGTACACAAGGACCCACGGTAATGAAAGAAGTCCAAGTTGCACTGAATGCATTAGCCCAAAACAAAGCTTTATGAATTGATGGAATACCAATGGGAATGTTTCAATAAGTGGATGAAGTACTCACTTGTCTGTGCCAGGAAACTTGGAAGACAGCTACTTGGACAACTGATTGGAAGCGATCCATATTTGTGCCCATTCCAAAAAAAGTTGACTCAATAGAATGCTCAAATCATAGGACAATATCACAAGCAAGTAAAATTTTGCTGAAGATCATCCAACAACGGTTACAGCCATACATACTGCCACAGATTCAGGGTAAATTTAGAAGTGGGTGTGGAGCAAGGGATAGCATTGCTGATGTCAGATGGATCTTGGCTGAATGCAGGGAATACCAGAAAGATGTTTACTTGTGCTTCATTGACTATAAAAGGCATTTGGCTGTGTTGATCACAACAAACTATGGATAACCTTGAGAAGAAAGGGAATTCCAGAACACTTGACTGTGTGTGTAGAGTTACAGTCCCAGAAGCTCACAGGGGCAGTTCTACTCTGTCCTGTAGGGTTGCAATGAATCGGCACAGACATGTTGACAGTGAGTTTTGACTGTGCTCATGTGGAAATTGCTCATGGATCAAGAGGCCATTTAAAATCGGGAAAGGTGTGTGTCGGGGTTGTAGCCTCTCACCATCCTTATTCAGTCTATATGCCGAGAAAATAATCAGAGAAGCTGGATTATATGAAGAAGAATGTGGCTTACAACCAGCATTGATGGAAAGCTTATTAATAACCTGCAATATGCAGATGACACTACCTTGCTTGCAAGCAGCATTAATGGAAAGCTTATTAATAACCTGTGATATGCAGATGACACTACCTTGCTTGCAAGCAGCATTGATGGAAAGCTTATTAATAACCTGCGATGTGCAGATGACACTACCTTGCTTGCTGAAAGTGAGGAGGACTTGAAGTATTTGCTGATGAAAATCAAGGATTAAAGCCATAAGCATAGACTGCAACTCAATGTAAAAAAATATAACCCACAAAAACCAAAATCCTCATAACTGGACCAACAGATAACATCATGATAGACGGAAAAAAAGATTAAATCTGTCAAGGATTTCATCTTGCTTGGATTCACAATCAACAGTTATGAAGTCAAGAGATCAAAAGACACATTGCATTTGGGTAAATCTGCTGCCCAAGACCTCTTCCAAGTGTTGAAAAGCAAGAAGGACTTTGAGGACTAAGGGGCACCTGACACAAGCCACGGTATTTTCAATAGCCTCATATGCGTGTGAAAGATGGACACTGAGTAAGGAAGACCAAAGGAAAACCGATGCATTGAACTGTGGTGTTGGTACAGAATATCGAACATACCATGGACTGCTAAAAGAACCAACAAATCTATCTCGGAAGAAGTACAACCAAAATGGTCCTTAGAGGAAAGGATGGTGAGACTTCTCATGTACTTTGGACATGGGGAAGGACATCATGCTTGGTAAAGTGGAGGGGCAGCAAAAGAGAGGAAGGCCCTGGCTGAGACAGATGGACACAATTGCTGTGACAATGAGCTCAAACATAGGAACTACGGTGAGAACAGCACAGGTCCTTGTTCTGTTGTTCACGGGATCAAAATGAATCGGATGACTGGAAAGCACTTAACAAAAACAACATGGCTTACAGTGGAAGCCTGGGTATGCCTCTGATGGAAATTGGGGTGCCAGGGTCGCATGGTCACGAGTCATGCCCGACTGATGTGGTTGGAGAACCCTGGAGCAATCCTGCAAGTTCTTCTACCTTGCATGATGCCCGTGTGCCAATCGTGGTCCCCTTCCTGCTTCTGTAGTCCCACCTGTGACTGGGATGTATTGGCCTGTGATGCTCCTCTGACAGTCTGGTCTCCATTGCCCTCCCATATCCTTTTAAGTCTCTGAATCTCAGAAAACCCCTGACAATCATTACCACCTCGAGCTAGTGAATGGGCTCCCGCTTTGTCTTATCTTTCCCTAAGACTTAATACATGTTCTCCTTCAATTCTATTTGAGACTTGGGGTCTTTCTTGTACCCTAAGATGGTATTGTTCAATTAATGTCTGTTAAATGAGAGGCCCTCCTGATAAGGATGACACAAGTACGTCTCCCATGGTTATGTGACTTGTTGAAGAATATAAGGGCAGTAGGCGGATGGTGATTCAAATCACGTCTCTTGATATTTCCTTGCTGTACAAAGCACAAGTGCTGTGAATTCGAGTCCTCGTTCATAAAAAGGCAGTGCCCCTGCATCACCAATGCCCAGATCAATCTCACTATCACCGCCAACTCACAGCCACCCTAGAGGATGGGACAGAACTGACCCACGGGGGTCCCAAGGCCGTCATTCTTCATGGAAGCCCACTGCCACATATTTCTTATGGGGTGCTTGGTGGAGAGGGACTGCTGATGTGTTTGGTCACCATCACGCCCCCTCCCTACTTCACTGGGTTGTGAAAACGTTAGCTACTCACCCACCCTCCAAAGGCATCTTGGGGCAATCAGCCTGCAACAAAACTTCCAGCCGTTAAGTGGTGAGACTCAGAGCCTGATCTTTGGGGTCCGGCAGACTCCTAACTCCGCCAATGAACCAGCTGCCTTGGACTCTGGTTTCCTGAGGTTTAAAATCAGGACACTAACATCAAGTCATTACTTTTCCTTTTCTTTTTAAAAAGGATTAAATGAGGGGATCTTTCCAGCGTCAGAGGCCCTGGGAGCACAGTGGTTACTCGTAGGGCAGCTAACTGCAAGGTCAGCGGTTCAAAACTACCTGTTGCTGTGAGGGAGAAAGAAGGGCTTTCTACTCCCATAAAGAGCTACAGTCTGGGAAACCCCCATGGGGCAGTTCTACCTGCTGCACAGGGTCCCTATGTGTCGGCACCCATTCGGTGGCAGTGAGTTAGTGCCTAAGCTGATAGAAAACATGTATCTAGCACTACAAGCTAGTTTTATTCCCACCTTATAGTCACAGCTGAGGGCCTAAACGCTAGCTGAAAGGTTTTAAATCTCCAAGGTTGAGGATCAGGCTCTGGAAGGCAGGCCGGATAATTTTCTCCTGGCAGGTCACTGCCTTGAACATCCTATGAAGTCCTACCCTGCACACATGGGTGGCCATGTTTGGGAACTACTCCATGGCGATTCCTAACATTAGATTATCAGCAAATCTCTCTCTTTTTAACAGATGAGACGCTGAAGTTCAGAGAGGTTTTATAAGGCCCTGCGGTTACTCCGCCAGATCTTGGCTTCCAAGGCCCATACATCCTTCCGGGGTAGGCCCTCTCCTGATCTCAGAACTAAGTAAGCACACTACCACTAGCTTCTCAGGGGTGCTAACTGCCACCCGAAGGCGGAGGGCACTAGCAGCGTGCCAGAAGGCTGCACGCTCTCAGGAGGGCGGAATGCACCTCCTGTGACTTGGACCTGTACCCATAGTCCGTGCAGGGCCAGAGAGCCGCCGGTGAGGTCCAGGAGCGCAGGCCCCCGCCTCCGGACGTCACGGTCCCAGGCGCAGTGCCCGCTAGGGGCTCCCGCGGCGACGGAGGAAGAGCCAGGTCTTTCCTGCTGCCTGCCCGTTACTGGCACGACCCTGCTCTCCAGGCTGGTCCCCGCCTGCCACACCCGGCAGGGACTTGGCGCCGCCGCCCCTCGGAGCTCCGCAGTCGCATCTCGCCGCCGCGGGAGGGTCGGCGCGCGCTCTCCTTCGCTCCGTGCCGCGTCGCCGCGTCC